ATTGTCATTGTCATTGTCATTGTCATTGTCATTGTCATTGTCATTGTCATTGTCCCGTTGTCCTTAAGGCAATTACTATTATTACTAGTTACTTTTGTTAGTGTCTTCCAATCTTCTAATATCAGAGAAGTATGTGCTTGTAGGAATGAAAGGAAATGAAAAAATGTCTAGTCAAATGATTTGATGAGAATTGATATTGAAAAAACTTGTTTTGTATAAATCATGTCGAACGAAACAAGTTTGAAAATAGCCCAAAATGTTCGATAAGATAAGAGATCTGAGAGCATTCGCGACCGAAATGTGATATCGATGGCAAGCGCAATATACAAATTGTATAATTGGCAATAATTAGGCGTAGAATCGATTAGTGCTGCGATCAATTGGGTAGAGTTAATATTGCAAATTCCGTCAATTCGATTGCTACGGCTCGATCCGCTGTCTCATTCCGTATGTATCTGCGCTGTGTATCGTGTGTTGCATGTGGACAGTCGATATCTATGACAGCTATGAGCTATGTGTGTGCCGACGCAGTGCCTCTCTCCTTCGCCCTCTCTGTCTAGCTGCCGCTCGGGCTGGGTGTGTCCGGTACCCAGTGCCTGGGGCGTTATCGGGTCGCCCATCTGCCTGACTTCATAAAACACTTAAAACGAAGTCTCTCCCTGTGTCTGTGTCTGTGTCTGTATCTGTGTCGCCGTCTCTGCTATTGGCCATTTGGGCACTGTTCGAGGCGTCAAGTGGTCAATTAATACCATACAAATATTGTGACAGCCGCCAGAGAGCCTGTCATAAAGTTGCCAGCCCGATCGGCCGCTCCGATTAGGAGAGCCCCCCAGGCCAATTTGCATATGGCAAACGAACAAGCGAACAAACAAACAAATGAACGAACGAACGAACGTCCGAGTCATTCCATTGATCGTTGATCGGCGATCGTTGCGTTCGCATATTATGCAAATCAAATGCAGTTTGGGGCCAATTTGCTGCCGCAATTAGCGGCCTTGTTGAGGATCGGGCCATGATCCTAGCACCCCTACTCCCTCTGGCAGCCCTGACAGTTGTCGCTATCCTTTTCATGTTTCAATCAGCGCCATTATTCCATCATGTTGTCGTTGTCGTTGACGTTGTCGTCGTCGTCGTCGTCGTCGACGTTGTTGTTGCTGTTGCTGTTGATTTATGCTGCGATCAGTGCCTAGGATTAGGATGAGACAACAGACTGGCAACAGCTCTGCAGCTGGCGACAGATAGACACACACGCACACACAAGCACTCATAGATAGGACGGCGCAGCTGGCACGTTTATCACATGCAATGCGAATGTACCTAAACTGGTACTTTATTTAGCCAATGGTACACTGCAAGAAAAAAGGAGTAAATGTTGTCGCTAATTGACATTTTAGAGTTTACTTGAAATTTGACCTGATTGATCTTTTGCCTCTTGTATTCTAGCATACCTGTATACAAAGAGTAAATAGCGCTAATGTACCTCAATTGGTAATATTCTTAGGCAATGGCAAACTGCGAAACCCGGTAATAGCAACTCCGCTTATAGCGTCTGTATGGTCTCGTGAAAAACTTAAATGAGCAAACTTTTATGGTTATAACGTCTTTCGGATAAACGGACCATCCCTTGAGCGTCGTAATAATCTAGCTGCCGCTCGGGCTGGATGTGTCTGGTACCCAGTGCCTGAAGCGTTATTGGGTCGCCCATCTGCGTGGCTCTAATGTATTATCTAATTAGAAGTTTTGCACTTTTATGTATGTATGTATGTATGTATATCTCTCAACTTATACAAATGTACCCAAAATATTACTATCGGTAGCCAATAATCTACTGCAAAATACATGCACTACATTATTGACTTTCCCCAGTTGACGTTTTGGCATATTATATTCACAATCTGCTTAACGACCTACTGCACCCAAAACTATCCTTTACATAGACATACAATGGTTCACTGATATAATATATATTCAAATTTCCGTTTATTGATAGTTTAGCACTTTTACTCTGTAAGCTAGGGTAAGTTTAAGGTACTCAAAGAGTAGTTTGACGCTAAAGTACCTACAATCGATGTCAAATTTTAATTAAAATTTTTTATGGATAGAACTTGATGTACCTTAAATCTTCTTTGCTTTCGTCAAAGGTACATGGCTAAATGGGGTTTCAATTTCATTGTTGTTGTCATTTGGTCACAAATTCTTAAATGCATATAAGTAATGCTAATACCATTATAGTAAATAAAATTTAATATAATTTTTCCTATGGTCTTTTGAGCTTGAAATTCATGGCTGATAATTGATTTGGCCGATGGGCACCTGGAACGATAGACAAAGATAGACCTGGAACGATTCACAAAGTGTGTGGACGAAAAACATTTCAAATTCCTTCTAATATGATTTTATGCGTATACTTAATATTTCTCCATATTTTGCTATTCTAATGCAGATGCATCTAAATGGGCATTATTTTTTTTCTTTTTAATATATATGAACATAAATACTCGTCCATTCATGAATAATGATTCACATATTCACTCAGAAACCCAAGCTTCTTGTGCTCTTCAGCATGTTTGTGGATTTGTATTTAGATATTCTATTGTTGGCCGGAGTTCTGTTTACCCTTTCAACTTTTCTTCTTTAGGGGATCTGCCACGCCCCATTTAGGCATTACGTACATTTGGAGTGAACCATTATACCCTTTCAATGTGTGTTTGGCTGCAATGTGGCGGCTGGCTGGGGGGATCTGTGGTACACAGCTGGGCGTTCGGCCTCGGCTCTCGGGCTCGGCAGCTCCTCGGGCTGCAGCCGAGGCCGTCGCTGCACAGTCTGGAGCTTTGCTTGCGGCTGATGGCCGAGCGCTGGGTTCAGTTGCTCGTGCGCCGTTGCAAAGTCAACAAGCGATCGGCAAGTTGTGTGTGTTCGTGTGTCGTGCGCGAACTTGTTGCTCGCTCGCTCTCTGGCTCTCCCGCTCTCTCAGTCACTCGCTCGCTTACGCTCCTCCCTTTCTCGCACACAGCTGCTCGCGAGCCGCGGCTGCAGCGCATTTCGTTTGGTGACGCCAAGAAGAAAAACTATTATTTATTGTTTATTTACAATTTGTTGGCTGTGTTTTTTTTTTACCCCAATTCTTTTTTTTGTGTTTGTTCTTATTTGCTGTTGATTTGCCAGCATAATTGTGGTCATCGCTGCAGCTGGTGACGGCTTAACGGTAACTGTAACTGTAAATGTATTTGTGGCTGCTCTTAAGCAGCGCTCGCACACTCAAGTGAGTACAAAATGGCTTACATACATATACACACACACACACACATACATACATTTGCACCTATTCTTATATCGAAGCTATCTCTGCTTGTGTTTTATTTTGTTTTGCCTGATCAAATTGATGTTGTTGATATTGTTGCCAGCTTTCTGGTTAATTAAAAATTTCATTCGATTCTTTATTTGTATATTTTTTCCATTAATTGTAATTTGCAATCGACACTCACCTGGCAGATGCATTACACTCAGCTCGCTGCCGAGACTCGGTGACAACTGTGGCTAACTGCTTATGGCTAATTTTATGGCATTTGCATTACCCGCAAAGATGCTTTGCTGGCTGCTATGCATTTTAATATTGCTACAAGCTGACTCTTAACACTAATTGTCCATTAAATGTTGAATGCTGCTTTCAGCTCGTCTAGACACTTTCGTCTGGGCTGTAGACACATTGCATACCAATTTGGACAGAGGTTGAATCTAGTTGAGTGGCTCGCTGCTCGCTGCTGTGAAAGATACTTTTATGTAATTGTAATCAAGAAGTTCTTCCGTATTCTTAGAGCCCCTTAAAGCATTAGAGATAACCCTAACGGGCACATATCATGCCTGACTTCAAGTTGAAGATACTTTACCCAGCTTAGCTAGCATTTGCTTAACAGTTGCCCCCTTTGATCTACAAGCCCGCATATGTAAATATTTGGATAGATATTACATACAGATTACTGAGGTTACACGTAGTTTAAAGGTTTGTGAACTGCCTCATAACTGATATGCAGCTCTGTTTCAAAGTGACTTGCTGCAATCGGAATGGTAGATACTTTTCTATAACTTTCAGATAATTGTATTCTGAATATTGCAGAAGCTCGTGTAGAGTAGAGAACTTGTTCTAAGGGATTCTTCAGCAATTGATGGATATGCTTGATATGAAAATATCATATAAGAGGTCTAGGTCCACAAGTTACAATAGTACTATGCTATTATAGGTACAATAGGTATGTATATGGTCTTATACTCTACCATAAATACTATACGTATATTGTACAATAAGGTACTTTGATGCGTGTTTAAGCAAAATATACTTTGATCTGTTGATCTGTTTAAATACTCTACTTCGACTCCATCTTTCAAGACTGAAATGATTCTGAATATACTTCAAATCAATTCATAATATCTTATAAAGCTGGGAATAAACTAAAGATTGCTTTATCAGCTAGCATATACCATAGTATATTGATGTTCCACAGAAAATTTAAAAGATTTAAGATTCGTGACTTAGAGATCAAGAAATACTATACAAAATTTAAGCAACTTGTAGCTACTTAAGCAAGGTACTTCGAGCAACTTGTAGATGCTTAAGCAAGGTTTGACTATATCTAAGACATACATAAGAAAATATTCAATTGATGCTTTGAACAATTTGTATATACTCAAGCAAGAGCTATAGTATATTTAGTATCTCTTCTGCAGATACATTTAACAATTTGTAGATACTTTAGCAGGTCTTGATTGAAACTTTAATCAGTGAATATTTAAGAGATAAGCAAACATCTAAATGAAGAGCTTGATGCTGCTAAGTCAAGATTTGAGTGCATCTTAGATATTATCAGGCATCATAATTCTGGCAATTCTTAGTAGTTTAGTTTACTAAATAAAACTAACATCATCAGAGAACAGCATTACTTTTAGATACTCTAACAGATATTGTAAAGGTCTTTTGAAAAGGAATATTAAACTGTCCCTGATTAAATAGCAGAAACTCTAGAGAAACTCTGACAAGCTCGACGACACACATTGTAAAGTCTTGACTTTATCTCAAAGATCAGCAATGATTCTAAAGATACTTTGACAAACCTGCAGATTCCTTGATAAGACATGTCTGTCTCCTTTGCTTGGAGCTAGAGAGAGAAAGAGAGAGAGCGAGGATGAGAGATGGTTTAGCTTGAAGCTGTTGAAAAGACGCAGAAGAAGAGGACACAGATACTTTGCTAAGTGATAGATACAGGTTTGCAGTCGACGGCAGCTACTTGGGTATCTGCAGCACGCAAACGGATTGACCCTTGCAAAACTGGCCAACTAGCCGGCTAGGCAACTACCATAAACAGCGGCCCGGGCAGTCGAAGTTGCAGTTGCGCATTTATGGCTGCTTGCCACATTGTTGCCAGCCACATTAATCATCGCAGAGCGGCTGATAAACTTTGACATGGCTGCGTGCAGCAGCCACAGCAACAGCAACAGCAGCCACAGCAGCCAAATGAAGCGATCTTCATAAATCAAAAATGCTGCTGTGTAGCCTGCCGCCTGCCGCCTGCAGCATGCAGCATGCAGCATGCAGCCTGCAGCAGTTGCAGCAACTGGCGGCATATTTGATTTATCGGCTTGACCAGCGACCGCCAACAAGTTAATTGAAAACGAGGCGTGACAGTGAAATTTGCCGCCGCACGCCAAGCAGCCAAAGTAGCCAAGTAGCTAGGCAGATGCTGTTGCAAATGGCAACGAGGCGTGGCCACTTGCCACTAGCTGGGGCTAGCCCGTGCGGCCCGTTCAATTTTCCCCATTTTCCAAATGCGCCACTAAACTGACAGATTTGGCCATAATAAAAATGAAAAAAAAAAAAAACCAACAACAACAACAACAAAATTCACAAACGAAAACGTAAAACGAAAAATCGCAGCAGCCGGGAAAATAAGTTGCCAACTTTAATTTATTGTGACATAACGGTATAATCTGACATAAATTATTGATAAGACGAGTCGACCATAAAAGTACAAGACAGTTGGCTTAACCAACAACAAACAGCCAACAGCAACAACAACAACAACAACAACGACAATACAAAGCAAAAACACTATGAACGAAAAGCAATAAGAAATACAACGATTTTTGCTATGGCTAAAGCCGACTTTTGGTTACCCTTTCCTAGGCGATCGATGTTTGAAAATTGCGATCTAAGCCCGTCTCACATCTGCATATAAAAGTTCCTTTTCAAAAGTTAGCTGTCAATCTGATCAAAAATAAGATGAGATCTATATAGCTTTAACTTTTCTCTAATATCTCGCTCAGTTAGTTATTTCAGAATGATCTTAAAGTTTGATCATAGAATTCTTCAGAAACACGATTCCATCTCTCTAAACTGATCATGACACTACTGAAAAAATTATCATTATGGAGACTCAATTGATCAATTGATCATCGCATATATTAGACTCTGATCATAAGAATACGAATAATCTATGGATTAAATAACCTCTTGTCATATGTACGTAGCTTTATAGTCTCTTTGATCAGTTACATCAATCAATTAATTATAAATTTCGATCGCCTGATTCTTTTAAATATCTTTCTAGAACTGATCTTTAGCCAAATCTACTTTTTACTATATTGTTTTATAATTATAGCCAAAGAAAGACAAAATGAAAGCGCAATTTGACGATCAGCTTTATGATCGCTCTCCTATAGTCTCTACGTGATCTATGACTACAATAAATATAAAGATCAATAGCAGTTTTACACGATCATTAGCCGTTATTTTGGTGATCTATTAATTATCCTGAAAAACTAATTATCTAGCCAGAGTCTAGCAGGCAGGCCTTAATCAAATTCGCTATTCGAAATATTTATTGATAAGCAAAACTGATTTATGACTGAATATGATTATAATTTGTTGGCTAGATCTGCTGAAGATCAATATGCTCTGTATATGCAACTAGCATCAGATAAATGTGAAAAATGATTGCCTCAAATTATCGTAGCTAACTCAAATGTCTGGAATTATAAGCCTGGAAACGATGCAGCACATGGTAGCCCGACAGCCCGAACAAGTTTCAGCAAAGTCAACCGATCGGACCGCTTTATCAGTGATTTATAATTCGAGCTGCTAACTAGATTGAAAACGATTTATTTGGCCATTGAAAGCAGGCGGTGCAATCTGTTAAAGACAAACTCACAATGATCGTGCATTGATTTAGTGAGCGTTATCTCGATCTACAGTGAAAAAAGTTGCAAAAATTAACAAATTGAAGAAGTCAGCGCGTTATCGACCGAGCTAACTCGATTAGCTTATTCTTCCTGATCACTGATCACGAATGCATAGTGATCAGGCATTGGTCAGGCTTAAAGTTGAATGGGAAGTAAAGTATGATCCATAACGAGCGAGGATCGTTACTGATGGCATTTACTTGGATTAGCTTATACTCTATATATAAATAAGTTTCTCTTATATCAGGTGATCCTCACTTAGTTCTATATGACAGCTGTTGAGTAAAGTGATCGATCGATCGAATAATTGATTTATTTAATAAATGTCTAATAGTAATTTTGAGCACGAGACTCTGCTCCACGAATGCGTTCTGTGTCGCCAATGGCAACTGATCCACAGTTGAGGCGATCTACCAGTGGCTATATATCATATGAGCAAGCCAATTGTGTTAGGCCTTTGGCCACATCAGCTAAAACTCTGGTCAGGGTATCGAAACAACAGCTGCTTATAAATCATTCGACTAACAACAACAGCAACAACAACAACAACAACAACTGACTGGCTGTTTGGCTGGTTGCAACGAGTTGCGCTGTGGCAAAGTATCTATTGGATCTATTATTTGACTTTTATGTGCGCATAAATGCGGCGATATGACGACGGCGACGACTGCAATCGATGCCTTGGCCAAATGTCTGGCCAGGAGTGCAGCCAGTTTCGCGTCGACTTGGCTCTGGACGAGTTTTCGCAGCCAAATGCAATTGCAACTGCAACTGCAACTGCAACTGGATACGTGCCACAGAGCGCAAGCTCCAGACTTTGCTATGCACTTTCATGTTAATTAACAAGAAACTTTTTATCAGCTGCGATTACTCGAATGCCACACAATCCACACAGAGAGATGGAGTGAGGGAGGGCGGGGGAGGGAGGCACACACCTTAGCTAGATAAACAGACGTAACTCCACCCACCTCCCACTCCAGCCACCATTTGGCGATAAGCTGCGACAGACAACAAATTGTGGCACTTCACTTAGAGACAGACGCCGATAAAATAGCAAAAGCAAAAATGTTAATCAAGCGAGTGATCTATAGATCGACTAAATACCTTCAGATCAAAGGAAGCAAATGAAAATCGGGTGGATCCAACTGCGAAGTACATAGTATAGAAACATATAGACCAAAGTCGATTATGGGTAAACGAAATGCTTCATATTTCAAAGATACAATACACTTGCAGATCTTCAAGATGGTAGCTCTAAAAGCTTAAAAAAAATATGCGCAGATAAACATCGAGCTGCAAGAATTTTGTACAAATATCTTTGAATCAATCTGTAGGAAGGACCAAAACTAATTTATTTGGCACTTCAAGAAGAAAATTGTAGAATATAGTAGATGGCTCTATCTTTTACATCTTTCGAATCGGGTGTTAGCCATATGAAGAACTTCACTTTTGTTTATGGTTCTCGCCTACATAAATATTCCAAATTCAAGATTTATGTCAAACACTAAAAAATAACTTTTGACTAGTGGCGCCTAAGGGTGACATAGACTTAAGCTTTCTAAAACTATAATCATAGAAAAAATAGATTTTCAATATCTGTCGTATTGCCTAAAAGCATATCTAAATCATGTATGTATTTGAATTCCAGGTTTATAGTGTTTTATACTCATAATATAGAATTTCCCGATTTCTCAGAGTTTATATTTAACATTAAAACTAGCTTTCTCGCTCTCTCTCTCTTAATCTCTCTCTTTTGTGGTGTACGAGATCTCTGCGTTCATATGGACGGAAGAACACTAAGTCGGACAGATGGACATGGCAAAATAGACTCAGCTTGTGATCAAAAATATACATAGGTTATGCGGTCTCCCATACATTCTCACAAAACTATTCCATCACGAAATTCCGCTTTCAATTCAGGGTATATTTACAAATGTTGCTGAATAATACATACATATATAAATACGTATGTGTATGTATATGCGTTTGTGTATGTAGTTGTGTGTGTATATGTGTATATGTATGTGTATGTACATGTGTACCGGCATATAATAGTTGGTAGAGTAGATCAGATCTACTCGAAACATCAATAAATTTCAAAATAATTCATATTATTATGAGTAAAGCTTATTATCAATAAAGAGTTATTATAAATAACAATTGTATCTTACTCTTTACTCATTTTCTATCTCTCTCCCCTTCATTCTAATTGCAGGTATGTTGCACTTTGGTCGTAGCTAAAGCGAATTTCGGGCTAACGTGCTAAGCACAGTGAGCAAAACAAAAGACTTAAGCAAAGAACTTGCCCGGGCGTACAGTGTGGCCATATTTTAGGGGTGACAGCTCGGCCAGAAGCATGGCCCTATTTCCCTCCTCCTCGCGTCCGCGCACGCTCATGGAGCAGCTGTTGGCGCGCAAAATTGAAGCGGCCGCTGGTTCCGGTTCCGGTGCCGCTTCCAGTGCCAGTTCCAGTGCTGGTGCTGCTGCCGGCACTAGTGCTAGTGTCGGCGTTGTTGCCGGCTCCGGTTCCAGTGCCCTGCCATTGGCCGGCGCGCCCACCGCTGCTGGCATTGTGAGCCGATTGCGACGAACCGATTCGCTGGACTCAACGAGCAGCCTGGGCTCTCTGGCGTTCGGCGAGGACGTCTGCCGCTGCGACGACTGCCTGCTGGGCATTGTCGATCTGTACGTGATCAGTGCGGCCGAGGCGGCCAAAAAGAAGGTAGGTGCTGCGAGTGGCCCAAAAGCTGTTACGACTTAGACACACACTTTCTTGCTCTCTCTCTCTGTCCCTCCCTACTCATCGGTTGTTGCTTGTTCATTCGAATTGGTTTTTGTTGTTAGGCGCTAATTAGTAAGGCTGCAGCGCGCAAAAGCTTACGCTGGGTTCGGAACCCGGCTACGGCGATCGCGTTAAAAGCTTCGCGAGTTTAGTTTGGACACCAACATCGCTTGCTAAATAGTAGTAGAAGCAGAAGAGACTACAGCCGAGACAGCCACAGCTTTGGCCAAGTCGGCTTCGGCCTCAGCTTGAGCGTCGCCTCGTTGTCGCTGTTGTCGCATTGAATTATTTGACTGTTGGACCGGTCCGAAAGCTGCTGCCGTTGCCGCTGGTGCTGCCATTGACGTCACAGGCGTTATGATGCGACATACGCCTTGACGCTGACGTGCTCGGCTTTACCTGCGACTGACAGAGACAGATATAGAAGTCGAGCGAGAGAGAGAGACAGTGCGAGAGAGTACGGCAGTAGCTCAGGCGTGAAGCAATCACAGGCGGCGGAGAGTGCGCGGCGACAAGCAGGGGAAAGTTCATTGAAAAATATTTCAAAACTGGAAAGCTGTAGCAGGAGCGAACATGCTTTACAGCTGTTAAAGAGAGAAAGAGGGAGAGAATTTAACAGAGTTAGAAGTTAAAAGAGATTGCAAGAGAGGATGCTGACTGACTAAGCACAAGTTTTAATGAATGGAGAAAGCGGCTAATTAATATACATATGTAACTAATATCTGCACATAATACATATGTGTGTACATATATGCATATATGTATGTACATATGTATATATACAGTTTGTATATTACTCTAAATTGATAAATGATTTGTCTAGCTTTTCTTCTACTAAGGATAAAACAAAAACTTGAAATTTGAATATCTTCATAAAATATTCCACAAGTAATGGAAACATTCCTAACGGTCAATCGCCATTTTAATTTTCGCACTCTTTTGCTCTGATCCTTTTAGCGGCGCTCATTCTGACGCGCACGCTCTCGCTATCACTCCCACACACACGCACACACAGTCAGTTGTTTTCTGTGCGCACTCTCACAAACGGCTACGTCACTGGCCCAGACAGACAGACAGACAGCTTGTAATGAGCTTTGCCCGGCGCGTTGCCCAATGGAAGCTACGTACATTTGCCATTTTCACTAATCATTTGCATTGTTTTTGTCTGGCTGGCGCTTGGCCTTCGAGCACCCAACGGCACCTAGTGCTCTCAAAAAACACCACCACTCCCACTCCCATACTGCTGCTCTCTCATGCTCTCCCTCTCTCTTTCTGTTTCTCTCGGCCCGTATGCGCGCTCTCTATTTACTGTTATCAGTTGCGCGCGTCCATTGTAGTGAGGACTCCTACGACGCCAGCGTCGCTGCCATCTGCTCATCGCGGACGCCGCACAGCGTTGTTTCTGGCTCTGTGTGGCTCTGACTCTGGTTGTCTGTGTCCCCCGACCAGTTGAGCTTTTGCAGCGATCGCGTGCGGCTGGGCTCTGTCTCTGCATCTGCTGTCTCAGTAACACAGCTCTACTGTTATTATCATTGTAAAGGCTCCCGCCGTTGACTCTGCCGTTGCTGCTGTTGTTTCTGCTGCTGTTGCTGCTACTGTTACTGCTACTGTTACTGCTGTGCTTCACCTCTGCCGTTGTCAAAGTATTTTCCTCTCGGTGTCGTCGTCGCGCGTTTGCGTTTCCGTTTTTTATGCCAATGTCTGGCACGCGTCGCGTCCAACTCCAGCAGCTGCAGCAAATCAAACAGAAACAGTAACTAAAACAACAACACCACGCAAACGAAATAAAGACAGTCAAACGAAACAAGAACAACCTTAACAACAATAATATTAACCAGAGCTGTTTTGACTGCTTGTTTCGAAAAAAAAAAAACACCAAAAAAGAAACACGCAAAAATTCCAAGTGAAAAAATTTAATTAAATTTCGCTTCGGCTCGCGTTTTGTGTGTTTTCATTTTGTCTTCTTATTTTATTGTTGTTGCTTTTGCTTCTGTTTTTTTTTTCTGTTTTTTGTTGCTGTGTGTGTGCACTTGTGTATTTTAAGCGTAGTTGTTGCTGTTTTACATGCATATGCATGCATACATACATCTGTGTGTGTCATGTGTGTGTGTATGTGTATGTGCGTATTTCTTGTTGCTGCTTGTTTGACATGAAAGCTTTCACGTTGACAGTTTTCTGCTGGAATCACTGGAAAGTGGATTGAGCGTTGCAAGCTGCGCAGTTGCTGCTGCAGTTGCCGCTACGTCAGACTCTGCCTCTTCTTCTTTTTGTTTGTTGTAAAAAGTGTTAATTGAAGCACGCGCCGTCACGACGTAGGCGCTAGCTGCGCGCTGTGCTGCTGGAAGGGCAACGTGGAATGAGTAGAACAGGGAGAAGGCGAACAAGAGGGAGAAGGAGTAGGGGCAGAGAGGGAACGACTCCGCAATGAAATTAATTCCAGTTTATGTAAACATTTCAACGCCGACGTCAATGGAGAACGCTACGCACTATGCCAGCACGCGTGCGCGTGAGAGAGAGAGAGATGGAGAATAGGAGAGGGAGAATGGGGTGGGGGACCAGCTGAGTTGTCTTGTTTTGGTTCATCTACGCGCGCGTACCGATTGGGAATTATATAATATAAAGACGCTTGACTCGCAACGCGTCTCATTTTTTATTAAACAAATTTTATTTCAGTGTTTTTCATTTTTATATATATATTTTTTTGTCGCAATTTGGCAATTGAGGCTCATTTAGCGCCAACGTTCCAAAAATGGCAACTCATGTCCATTAGCTCTCACGCATGCCCCGCACCACCTCCCCTGCACCACACATACTCGCACACACACGCACACAGCTATAATTACCATCAATCGTTCAATACATATCCGCACGTACCGCTTCAGCCAAACACCCACCCACCCACACGCTGGATGGCTATAACCAGCCTTAAACGATCTTAATGACGATCAACACACACACACACACACTCAGACATAGTCAGCCCTCTAATTCTATCGCAATTTGTGCGTCAATGGCGACCGCCCGACACAACTGAAATAGAAAAAAGTGTTTACTTTATTAATTTTAAGCTTTCGGCAGTTAAGAAACAAAAAAAATAAAATACACACACATTCAAATACACAAACTCACACAGACAGATAGATGGAGCAAAAAAAAGTAGCTTTTTCATTGTTATGCGGCGTGAATGCCGCACATTAAGCGCAGTCCGGCGGAGCATTGGATGGTCTGAGGGGGTGCGACAGTGGGCGTGAGGAGTGGACTGCAAGGGAAGTGGGGTGGGATCGTTAGAGCAGGCATTACGTATCCCCACACCCAGCTATTCACCATGTTGTATCTACGGATACATTTGTATCTATTACCACATCTACATATATCTACAGCCAAACGAACATACATATAGAGATATATATACATGTGGGTCTATATCGGGCTGTCGTCGACGGCATGTGCGAAACTCTTTTCATTAGATAACGAATGGCAAATTACCTATGTGAAGCGTGTTTCAAACAAACTGCCATAGAGAATAAGAGAGAGACAGAGGGGAGACGAGGCAATATACACTTGTAAATGCTCAAAATATGCTGAAGGATCGGTTGAAATCGCTTTATATGCCTAGAAGAGAAAAGAGAAAGTGGAAGATATTGTAAATATAAATGAAAACATCCATATAGAGAGATGAGAACTATGCATATAACAAGTGAGAGTAAAATATACAAAACAACTTAGAGATCATAAGGTTAATATGGAATAAGTAGAATACTTATAGGAAAGAAAGAAAGAAGGCTAGAATCAAGGAGAGAGGAAGAAGAACAGGTATACCTAATTAAGGGGAACATTTAATATATAAAAGAGATTAAGGACAGAAAATAACAAAAGTTCTAATAATAAATATAGTAATTTTCTTGATACTATATTTAACAAGCTGAGCTATATGTGAATGAGCAAAGCCGAAGAAGACAAGAGTGGATTATTAATTCAATTCAGATATAAGATGGGACTTACAAAGAGAAGATTAAAATTCATGACCTGTAAATAAGTAGAATAAGCAGATAGAGATGCAAGTGAAAGTGATGTAAAAGAAAGTGCTCCAGAGCAGCAAGCAGTGAGGAGAGTGAAACGGCGAGAGAACGAGAGGAAGACAGTGAGAGACGGACAGAGAGAATGGGAGGAGGGAAGGATATGTAGGGGAACAGAGAGATAGAGAGAGAGAGAGATAGAGAAAACAATTGTAGAAATACAGAGGACATAAAAAAGAATGAAGTGGAGAGATAGGGAAGTAGAGGTAGTCAGAGGGTAACATCTTTAACTTCGTTAAGGACAGTATAAATAAACTATATTTTTGAGTCCTATGGTAAAAAGTCCAAAAGGGTGATCAGTAAAGAGATAGAAGAGACCAACATTTTGATACATACATATTAAAAATCATGTTTATTACAGATATATAGGTGGACATCGTAGAATCTTTTGTAACTATAAAACAGCGAGTTTGATAGTCAATTGTAAAATACGCCTTTGATATTATTTGAAAACTTTTAAATATATATGCTAAGAATCGAGAAATTGGAAACAAATCGAAAAATCGCGAATTCATTGAGATGCTATGTGGACGCTAGGCCCTTTATCAGCAACCATTGCACACGGTTCAGTTCCGATCGACCGCAATACAAGCGAAATTTCTAGTATATATTAAAAATACATATATTTGTAAATATATAAATATATATGTATATGTATTTATATATATAAATATATATATATATATATATATATATATATATATATATATATAT